CCCCTGCTGGGGCAGATCTCACTCTCTCTCCAGACCCTGCTGGCTGTGTAGGATCAACTCGAGAGTCTGGTGTAAGCAAAATGCATGCTGGGCCGGGCCAGGTCTCAGATGACAGCAGCTTCCCACTATAGAGCACTGTATGCGGAATGGGGGGTGTCGGTTTAAGATCGCCTTCACAGCAAAGGATTGACAGTTCGTGACTTTAGAAGCATGTAGCGGAACAGAAATGTACACAGAAGCACAAAGCAGAAGCACCACTGTCATGTAGCGCCGGGTTTTTTCTTTTTTCTTCTCTTTCTCATGTGCACAGCAGAGCAAAAACATAATGTGTTTTTTATGCTCTCTTCAAAGCCCCAGTGCTCCTGTGATTAGCATCATAATTGCAACTTGCAATATAATGTGTTTTTGTCTAATCGCAGCAATGACCCATATCCCGGTAAAAGCCACACCATGCACGTCTTTGTATCGTCCTACTATTTGAACCGCAGACACCGCAGTGTACATATTTCTGTTTACTCTTTGCTGTTTTCTAGAAAGAAAATAGCCAATTAAGTATGAACATTTTATAAGAGCCAGATCATTGTATGCTATAACACTTGTTTCATTCATCATCCGTCATAGCGTATCCATATTTGCCTTCCATTTTTCTGCAAATTTTCTCTATCAGTGCCTCTGAATTCCCAACCCCTAGTACCTCTACCCTTCTCCCCGCCCATCAGTCATAATGACCTTTATAAGCGTTTCCTCGTGCTTCTACGTGGTGCCAGGCCAATATGACAATGACACAGTGCTTCATTATGTGTCAACCTTACTGGGAATGTTGTGGGAACACAGTGTAAGGCTTTTCCTGACGAGGAAACACATACCACATTTTAATTCACAGACATGTCAAAGCTCTCATTTAGGAACGCTGTGTGCAGGGCGCTGGGAAGACGCTTATATACAGTATGTATGTGTGTGTGAACGTGTGGACTTATCTTTGATTGAGAGAGGAAAAGATGGTCAGACGACGGAGGCTTCATAAATTGTTTGGAGGGCACGGAAATTAAATATATTGAAATATATTGGACTAGCATTGTCTGATTCAGTGCGATTCACCTGACAGCAATAAAGCATTAATTTAGGTCATTTTTCTAAAATGGGATTTTTCAACTGCCACCGTAATGACTCCCGATCTGATTGAGGGTATATCTGCTTGTCAGTATTGCAAAGTATTGTATATATGTGTAAATGGACACATGTTTTAACATACACAATTGCTTCAGTTGTACACTGGTATTATCAAATGTTAGGTGCATATAGGTTTTATTCATTTTATGACAAATTAAAACATGCCCCTTACAGTTGATAATACTGCAGATCCAATTAAGTTGTTGGCAGCTCTGTCAAAGGATGAGAAGTGCATCTGTTAGATTCTTGGTTAATTACTGCTCTGAAAATGGGTGAGGCTCTTGTCATGAGTGTTACCTGACATGTTACTTTGGAGATATTTTCCTGTTTTTGACATGCTTAGTTAACGAATGCTTAGTGTCTGTGTGCGAGTGTCTTTCCTTCTGTTAGTTCCTGGTGAAAAAAAATCTGCCTGTGACTGCCTTTGACACTTCGTCTAGGGCTGGGGTCCATTTTTTGATTCTGAAAGTGAGATACGATATTAGATGGGCCAGTGTGGGGGGGGGGGGGAATACATATTTTGAACAAAGAACAATTAGCAAGAGCACCACATGGGTCTTCTTTTTGTGACCCTCTAGAATAAAATCTGAAAATGGATATGAAAGTCCACATTAAAGCCGGGAAAGAATGAGAAATGACTCCAACTGTGATGGTGACATTCCAATTCAAAGACAACTATGACTCACAACTTCAGTTTCAATGACTGTCTCACAATGTCATCGGCTGAAATTTGCACAACCCCTCCCCCCCTCCCCCCCTTCTCTCCTCTTCCACCTTTTGATCTCATTAATTTGTTGCTCAATGTCCCACTCCCTTTTATAAAACCTGCACTTTTATGAGGCCAATAAATGGCATTGTCTGCACAAAGACATCACAAGATGGTCGATCGATGCGCGAGTCAACACCTTCCAGAAACGACTATTGATTGGGGGGATGTGTGTATGCAGATAGATCTGGCCCAGCAAGACGTCTCCTGTTCAACTGTGGTGAAACAGTGTAAAAACAAAGCCCCTGTGTGTGAGAGGAGGCAGGGGAGCAGATTTGCCCAGAGTGCTGATCTCAAATCAGCTTGCGCACCTCAATCCTGCTCTCATTCATTAAGGTGGCAAAAATGCAAAGCTGGTTATACCACCATTTAAAGAAGGCTTTATTCTACACTGAGTTGAATACGAGAGGAATTTCTTAAAGGTGCCAATATATGAGGAGAAAAAAGTCCTTTTAATTCTCTTGTTTTTATGTACTTTGGTTTTTGTTGTTTTCAGAAATCTATGGAGAGTTTGTGCTTATGGTGGAGATAGATGCCAGAAAGAGGATGAAAAATACAAATGTCTCATTTGCTGTTGTACCTGAAATCTTGTGTCAATTATATACATTGTAAGATTTTCAACATGCCTGTGTACTGTTTCTTTAATGGTCAGTGTGTTTCTGTGTGTGTGTGTGTTTTTGTCAGAGAAAATGAAATATATATATATACATTGTTTTATCCCGTAACAAGGTTTTAAATTCCTGCACAATGTGTCTAGTTTTCTTAAGAAAAAAGGAAAAGGAAGTTGTTTGCGCATAACATCTGCCCAAATTGTTTCCCAGAGCGCATCAGGGCACCCTGCCACCTCAATAGGGCCAATGCACTCCAGTGATGATGTCAGAGGTGACAGCTGTTGTCTGGTTGTTGCCACACAGGAAGAAAAAAATTGTTTGCCACATGTTCAGAGAACACTAAGTGCTTTGTCTTGTTTCTGTGTGTAGACAATGGGATGATCCCCCCCCCCCCCCCCAGGATGGTTTTAACAAGGTGTACGTACTTGACCATGATCCTTTGGGAGACTGAAATGCCCCGCTTCACATTGAGCTCTGCTGTGTACACAGTGCTTCCAGTATGGGAACAGAAGCTAAAGGACTTTATGGTTCTCGTGCAGAGCTGCGACATTTCTGTCTGTCACAAGGCTACAAATTCTAGGAGTGAAAAAAATGTAAGATTGAGTCAGCGCAGCACTCTTTAACCAGGATTATGAATATTAAATGATGTCACAGTGAATCTCAAGTGCCAGCCTATCTGCCTCTCAGCTGGGCTAAAATACACAGAGTCTGTCCTTGTATAGGTTGACCTTCTTCACACCTGTTTGATGTCACAACATGGGCATTCGAAGGCAAACTGTGTCCGAATAAATGTAACAATCCCAGCTCTCACATAGTTTTTATAATCAATCTCATACTTCACATATTTCTACTCAGTGACGGGGTGCGTTTCTCTCCCTACAGTGAGACAATTGTGTTATTCAATTTCACTGAAATGATTATTCATCTCTCTGCAGTCCCCCTTCCCTCAGCAGCTGCTTCTGTGAACACAAGCGGGGAGCAGACACACTCACATTGTCAGCTATCGATTACGTCTGAAGCTTTTCACCTTCCCCCCCGCTCACCAGCACACACGACTGCACAAATGCACCCAAGTTTTTCTCCTCCATTTAGCTTTCAGCTTTGCCCTTTTGGTTCACAGCACTCTCATGAGCGACCGCTTCGCAACCCCTTACATGGCCTCCGTATTTGAAATATCACCTCAACAGGGCAAAACACTTGTCAATAAAATCTCCTCAGCTCAGTACATCCTGATCTGCCTTTGCCCGCCAGGTCCGTCATGGCTTATGCTGCCAGGACGGTTCACTTAATACCTCAGAAAAATACATTAAAATATGATGTGCTGTATAAAATTTTAAATACACTTCCATTCCAGTATGACAGCAACTCTTTGGGTAGCTGAAATAGTTTAAAAATAAATCCCTGGAGCGGTGCAGAACCTTTTCTTTCTGTCTGATTCTCTCCTGGGCAGCAGGTGCCATAGTAAACCTACCTAATCTTTCATCGCTAGGTTACAGTAAGGGAATGTTACAATAAACATGGCATTTGAAGTAGTTATCCTATTGTCTTAGTTGCTTCATCATCCCATCTACTCGTATGTGGATTACAGAAAGAATGCATCCAGGTTTTCACATCAAAATGCCAAAAAAAATTCCAAGAATGAGATCCACTGTAATTTTTTAACATCAGTGTCAAATCTGGGAGTTCAGCTCAAAGAACTGGCAGAGGCTGTTCTCCATCTAAATGTCCCTACATGGCTGCAGATGTGCACCGCACTCCTTTTTGCCTTTTGGCTCACCAGACATATTCTGTCACCTTTTTTCCTCACTCTTTGATCTGCCTTGTAATTGAACTAAAGCCTGCTGCTCCCCTCTCCGATTTTCTCTCTCCATTATCGAGCTGAGCTGTTATATAATTTTACATCGGTACTTACATTTGAGATCAAGGGATTCACATCATTGCCTCTGTCAGATGACTGAATGTGAGATTGGGTCAAGCTACAAAAGAGCTCACAGTTCTCCCGCAGGTTGTGCAGAGCAGATGCACATACTGCCACCCAGTGGGGAAAGGGCCTCAGTGCATTTAAGAAAGAATTTGATCATTCAAAATGAGGGTGAGGGACACATGAAATAGATATTACCATTATAGGGACACACATGACAAGAAAAAAAAACAGATTTAAATGCATATATTGTTGTACTTATATAATTAATTCATTGTAAAGTATAACTAACGGTAATACCAGCTAAACCCTTGTGTCTGTCGGTCTCTAGTGGTTTGAGTTCCCACCTACTAGACTTGTCAGGAACGGTTTAGTGATGCTGGGTTTGGTCTGTAAAAGGGATGCAAGCAGAGGT